GATGCTTGCGATTGCAACCTGCCTGTGGTGGTACGTACATACGTTCGTACGTGGTACAAACTTGCAATACTTAGGGAGAAAGTAGCCATGCTTCTCTGACTTTGGGAGGCATTTGCATGTACAGACAGGTCATACTGTTTGAAGTAACCACTCCAACATGCATGCAAAGGAGAAGTGAAGCAAAAATAAATGGCAAGGAGAGCAGCAAGCAAAGGAGGATAGAAGGAAGGAGCAACTCAAAGGACAACATGTCTGCATATAAGTGTTCTCTTGTCATGTACAGGCAGAGCGAAGATATGTAGAAAGGAGGAGATCACAAGATCATATTTGGATGATTGAATCACGGAGCGCCACATAATCTGTCAATTTATTGTAAAAATAAATTCGTACTTATTATGATTTTGCTCATTCTAAATATCTCATTCTAATCTGTAAATTAATCTACATAAAATTGTACACTAACAAATCCAGAATTGTAGTAGCATGAAATTTTTACATATACATTACATGCAAATAAAGCAATGAATCTTGCTTGCCCACATGTGGGTTGTCAAGCCAAGTCTTACGGCGTGACTAGCTCGGCTCTCCGCTGTGTGATCGGTCAAGCAGCATGAATGCACAACCAGTATAACGTCTGGCTTTGCTTTTTGCCAGTGTGATTCTTTGCATGTGTGTTGGTGTTGGTTGTGTTCATCTTAACTACGAAGAGGTCAGGTGTTTTTTTTAGGCAGAGGCCAGGTGTTACTCATTGTGTTTTGTATTTTCTTGATGCTTCACTATGAGTTAATAAATGACTCCCTTTATCGAAAAAGAGCATGACGTCTGGCAGTGTATGACATCGCTAAAAGGGCCAAGATTGTTCATTGCAAAATTTCCAACTCCTAGTAATCGAGGGGCTTGCTGTGGTGAGGTGTATATTGTACAGTACACCAGTTGTTTGTTTGCTTAATAGCTACTGTTTCCTTTGGAATTTATTGAGGGAGAACAGTGAAAGAACAGGGTATGCGAAATTTTCGCTCATATTTGTTTTGTTTCGATCTAGCAGTTAAGCATCGGACAGGTACTGTAGGAACGTCCGTGGAAGAGGAATCTAACTAGGTGCAATGTAGATTCGTTACTTCTAAGATCCAGCTAAAAAAAGGGGTAACAGAAAATGTGGCAAAGAAATATAACATCAAGTTCGAGGACATAATTTCGTCTTTGTTTAATTTTCCAACTAAAATGCAATTACTTGAGGTGATCGATGTTGGTATCACGATCCAGGAGAACAAACTAATAAGATCTCAAAACTAGATTGGTAATTTGAAGGCTATTTTTGCGATCGAACGAGGTGACAGGATCAGGTAGATTGTTTCCGGTTCCAAACCATTCAATCAAACTGAATGCAACTTGCAGATCACTTAAATGCAAGTCATGATTCACGAAAGGGAGATCATTTTCCAACTCAACACGGCTCTACAAGATCTATCCATCTCTCTTTAGAATAGCTACTAATCGGTCGATCAGACACGCAATTCATCAACGAATTCTGGCAAAATGGATGGCGAATTAATATAGTATCAAGTGTGAATACTAACCTGCTGCACTGCTGGCAGAACCTCTGGTGGAGGCCGCCGGCGGTGACGACGACGGGAGCCTTGGAGTGGTGCTCGCAGACCTTGTGGCGGCGGTGGTAGCGCTTGGCGCCGGAGAGGTCTGCCTTGCAGCCCTCGGCCTGGCACCGGGGCGGGTGGTGGCCGTAGGTGTAGCCGCCTCTGGGAGGGAAGTAGGTCCGGTAGCCGAGGTTGAGCCCCAGCTGCGTGGCCGCGAAGCTCGCCATGTTCTCCTCCGCCGAACTGACCAGGGTGGGGAAGTAGTACTCGGGCGCGCCCGTCCCCGCCTGCTGGTGGTAGTACGACTGGAAGCCGCCGGCGGTGCCGCCCCCGCCGAATTGGCCGTAGGGGCTGCCGTTGCCTCCTGCCGCGGCGGCGGCGAGGTAATGGTGCGAGGTGGGGTGGTGGTAGAACTGGAGGATGTCGTGGGGGCTGTGGGCGGCGATGGTGGCGTGGCTGGACGGGGGGAGGAGCGCCAGCGAGCTGGGCTCGAGGCTGTAACCACCGAGGTGGTGGTGGTGGTGGTGGTCGTGCTCCCTATGGATGCCGCCGCCCCCCTCCTGGTGGTCCATGATCGGAAAAAGCGACGGCGGCGGCGGGTTGGGAGCCCCATAGCCGAACTCGTCGCAGGAGTTCACAGCTGCGGGTGGAAGGTTCATCATCCTCGCGGCCGCTTAATTTATCCGCTATAGAGAGCAGAGAACACGGCCGGAAAGGGGTTAGGAATGGAAGCGAGGACGCGGTGCAAGTACAGTGTGTCCCGGCCGGCCTTGCTCGCTCACTCACTGGCTTGAGGCTGTGGAATCGACGGAGCTCCGGGGACAAGCGTGCGCCATGGGGGGGCGTGTGGTGTGATATGCCGCGTGGTGGAGCTCGACGGACCGATGGCTCTCCAAGCAGCTTGTTTCTGATGGGAGGGAGCTCTAGGTGGGAGTGGAGGGTGCGTACTTTTCGTCTAGGGTTCCATGGACGAAGGAACGAGTGGTGAGGAGCGAGGGTGGAGTGCGTTTCTGGTTATATGGACCGATGAATCTCGCTGGCCAGGAGAGAGAGGGGGAGAGGGCGAGGGAGAGGGGGATCAAGCTGTATCTGTCCATCAACAAGGAAAACTAGCAAAGGCTATGGGTAGCTAGCTAGGGGGGCTGTGCTGTGCTGGGGATGGGAGCGATGGAACTTAATTGGAGTTTGGTGAGGGGGCCGGTGATAGCTGCTGCTGGCGTTATGTCTCCGGCCACCGTTTTTCCACTGCTCGCCTCCGTATCCATTTCCATTTGGCCAGGCGCGGGGTAGGGTTACAACAACACTGTGCGCCAGCGCCAGCACCACCCTTTCTATAGCTTCATCGTAACGTACGAGTACGACACTGTTGCATGTGTGCCTTGGAGAAGATGCGTCGATCCATCGAGATCGAGGGGGTACGCACGTACGTACGTATAGCACGCATGTATAATGTGCATGTGAGCCAGAGGGAAGGTGGCGCGTACATGCATGCATGGCCCGGCCGTGTGTGACACCGGGCCTGGCCGGCCCGGGGGTGTACTGTTCACGCATATATTCATGAGATGTGATCTAGTAATGGCCAGGGAAGTACGACGTACGTACGTGCGTACGTGCAGGAGGAGGGCCTCCTCCGTTGCTACCCATCTACAGGGCCGGCCATGGCCAGCAGATGTGTGCATGCCCTCGATAGTCGCCATCAGACTTGCTTTCTACGGCTGGCTATATATTGTACGTACGCCATAATTCCATGACCGGTGCTAGCTAACTAGCTTGCGTAATGAGGTGGATACTGCGGACGTACGTCCTGTACCGATCATATTATACGTGTGGCAAGCAAGTCGTTCGACAGATATATGGGGAAGTACGTACGTTCATCCTCCAGGTGTAATGTAATGTAAATATTGACTAGTCTGCGGATCCAACTTTGTTTGGCTCCCATTGTTGGTTCTATAATTCAATGATTTTTCGAATTTGATTTCAGAAATGCGTTGTTTAGCTGCCACAAGAAATGGAATCATAAATTTTAAACCCAATTATAGGGAGCTAGAATATAACTATACAATTCTTCACTATGAACACATAATCAAGTGTAATTCTTAACAAAAAATATATATTCAAATAATTCGAATCTAGAACCCAATTGCCCCCGCTCAAACTTATTCCATCGCCCACTTAATTTTCCCTTTGAGACCGCCTGTCTAGTCCAGGGGAGTACATATTGTCATTATGTGGGTGATGAAATTTGCACATTAGCGTCCTTGATAAGTGTTTTCTTTCTTTTTCAAGACATGTTTTTTTTCCAACATGCTTCATAGTTCATATACCTTGGTAACTACTCCCCCTGTCCCAAAATAAATGTCTCAACTTTATACTAATTTTAGTACAAAGTTGTGCTAAAGTTGAGATATTTGTTTAGGGACGGAGGGAGTATCTCGCAAAAGAAAAAACTTGGTAACTGCTCTCTTTCCTTTTCTAGACATGTTTTTTTTTTTGCAACATGATTTACATACCTATATATGTGTGTTTTAGTTGTATCCCCTCCCCTTAAAGCTTTCTTCTACATCCAATCTTCTCAATCCTTGTCCCCCATCTTCTTTCATCCCACCTCCACCTACCAGTTTTCCTAGCCCCTGCCTGCCACGACAGGACCTGGATCTAGGTTTGTTGGGTATGTAGATGGAGGCTTCCCTTTGGGCAGGACAAGACGTGGATCGAGGTTTGATGGGTCAGTTTGATTAGAGGCAACGATGCCCTTAATAATGTGTCTCTAGTTCCCATGACTAGATGAAAAATGCATTTCGAATAGCATGTTAAAAATTCTAAAAAATCCTATTGTGAATGCTCAAACACAAGGTTTGCCATCGTATTTGTTATTCCCTTCATTTTCTTGCATATTAGGTTTGTCTTGAATCAAACTTCGTAAACTTTGACCAAGTTTCTATTTTTTATAAGATTTTCACCAAGATTATATTTCACATCATATATGCTTGTTATTGTAATTATTCATGTTGTTTCCTATAAACTTAGTCAAACTTTAGAGAATTGACCTAGCATAAAGCTAATATGTGAAGTAAATAAAAATGGAGAGAGTACATCTTGGTGGACTATCTCTTAGTTGTAGAAGAGTAACCCTTACTAGGGAGGTGCCTATGATATCTTCATCTAACTTGAGGTCCAGTAATTCATTCTTCAATGGATGTTGTGTGAGTTTGTACATGCGTCTAGTTTGGTATACCTATGTATATGCTGTTGGAAATATGCCCTAGAGGCAATAATAAAAGCATTATTATTATATTTCCTTGTTCATGATAATTGTCTTTATTCATGCTATAATTGTGTTATCCGGAAATCGTAATACATGTGTGAATAACAGACACCGACATGTCCCTAGTGAGCCTCTAGTTGACTAGCTCGTTGATCAACAGATAGTCATGGTTTCCTGACTATGGACACTGGATGTCATTGATAACGAGATCACATCATTGGGAGAATGATGTGATGGACAAGACCCAATCCTAAACATAGCACAAGATCGTATAGTTCGTTTGCTAGAGTTTTCCAATGTCAAGTATCTTTTCCTTAGACCATGAGATCGTGTAACTCCCGGATACCGTAGGAGTGCTTTGGGTATGCCAAACGTCACAACGTAACTGGGTGACTATAAAGGTAGACTACGGGTATCTCCGAAAGTGTCTGTTGGGTGACATGGATCAAGACTGGGATTTGTCACTCCGTATGACGGAGAGGTATCACTGGGCCCACTCGGTAATGCATCATCATAATGAGCTCAGAGTGACCACGTGTCTGGTCACGGGATCATGCATTACGGTACGAGTAAAGTGACTTGCCGGTAACGAGATTGAACGAGGTATTGGGATACCGACGATCGAATCTCGGGCAAGTAACATATCGATAGACAAAGGGAATAGCGTACGGGACTGATTAAATCCTCGACATCGTGGTTCATCCGATGAGATCATCGTGGAGCATGTGGGAGCCAACATGGGTATCCAGATCCCGCTGTTGGTTATTGACCGGAGAGTCGTCTCGGTCATGTCTGCTTGTCTCCCGAACCCGTAGGGTCTACACACTTAAGGTTCGGTGACGCTAGGGTTATGAAGATATGTATATGCAGAAACCCGAATGTTGTTCGGAGTCCCGGATGAGATCCCGGACGTCATGAGGAGTTCCGAAATGGTCCGGAGGTAAAGAATTATATATAGGAAGTGCTATTTCGGGCATCGGGACAAGTTTCGGGGTTATCGGTATTGTACCGGGACCACCGGAAGGGTCCCGGGGGTCCACCGGGTGGGGCCACCTGTCCCGGGGGGCCACATGGGCTGTAGGGGGTGCGCCTTGGCCTAGATGGGCCAAGGGCACCAGCCCCTATAGGCCCATGCGCCTAGGGTTTCCACCATGGAAGAGTCAATGTGGTGGAAGGCACCCCTAGGTGCCTTGGGGGGGAGGGAAACCTCCCCTTGGCCGCCGCCCCCCCTAGTAGATCTCATCTACTAGGGCCGGCGCCCCCCCTGGCACCCCTATATATAGTGGGGGGGAGAGGAGGGATTTCACACCAGCCCCTGGCGCCTCCACCTCCCCCCGTTACCTCTCTCCCTCGTAGTCTCGGCGAAGCCCTGCTGCTGTGACGCCCTGCATCCACCACCACGCCGTCGTGCTGCTGGATCTTCATCAACCTCTCCTTCCCCCTTGCTGGATCAAGAAGGAGGAGACGTCTTCCGTCCCGTACGTGTGTTGAACGCGGAGGTGTCGTCCGTTCGGCGCTGATCATCGGTGATTTGGATCACATCGAGTACGACTACATCATCACCGTTCTTTTGAACGCTTCCGCTCGCGATCTACAAAGGTATGTAGATGCATCCAATGACTCGTTGCTAGATGAACTCCTAGATGATCTTGGTGAAACGAGTAGGAAAATTTTTTGTTTTCTGCAACGTTCCCCAACAGTGGCATCATGAGCTAGGTCTATGCGTAGTTCTTCTTGCGCGAGTAGAACACAATTTGTTGTGGGCGTAGATTTGTCAACTTTCTTGCCGTTACTAGTCCTTTCTTGCTTCAGCGGTATTGTGGGATGAAGCGGCCCGGACCAACCTTACACGTACACTTACGTGAGACCGGTTCCACCGACTAACATGCACTAGTTGCATAAGGTGGCTGGCGGGTGTCTGTCTCTCCTACTTTAGTTGGAGCGGAATCGATGAACAGGGTCCTTATGAAGGGTAAATAGAAGTTGACAAATCACGTTGTGGCTTTAACGTAGGTAAGAAAACGTTCTTGCTAGAACCCTAATTCAGCCACGTAAAACTTGCAACAACAATTAGAGGACGTCTAACTTGTTTTTGCAGCAAGTGGTTTGTGATATGATATGGCCAAAGTTGTGATGAATGATGAATGATCTATATGTGATGTATGAGATGTTCATGCTATTGTAATAGGAATCACGACTTGCATGTCGATGAGTATGAAAACCGGCAGGAGCCATAGGAGTTGTCTTTATTCTTTTATATGACCTGCGTGTCATCAAGAAACGCCATGTAAATTACTTTACTTTATTGCTAAACGCGTTAGCCATAGTAGTAGAAGTAATAGTTGGCGAGCAACTTCATGGAGACACGATGATGGAGATCATGATGATGGAGATCAT